TATTATTGTTGTTGTATTATTGTTATTTATAATTTACACAATTAACCTCCCTATGGTTCAACCATAATTTACACAATTAACCTCCTTATGGTTCAACCATGATCTTACCGGGTTATTTATTACTTCGACACTCCTGTACTTTGGAGAAAAAATCAATCTTTTAGTCGTGTCAACCTTCAATCTTTCCTATCTTGATAGCTTGTTCAATCCTTTCAGCAATCCTCACAACTTCATGAAAATATTAAGCTGAGCTTCCTATCAAATGCTCATAATAAAGGGATTGAAAGGTAGTGGCAAATAACATCACCATTTATGTATTCATCAGTAGAGGTTAAATATGTGTTTCCTTATCTCATTATCTTTATGCATATTCCCTCACAGACTCTTGATTTTTCTTCTTCATAGCCATTAGGATGGTTCTATTAGGGGTAGTTTCTAGATTAAATTTATATTGCTTCAAAAAAGCATCTACTAGATCTTTTAATGCCTTGATCCTTATATTGTCTAGTCTCATGTACCAGCTTAAAACAAATCTAGTGAGACTATCTTAGAAAGAACATATCGTCATCTTATTGTTATGTATCATTTCAACCATCTTATTGTAGTATGACTGGAGATGGGTGTATGGGCATTCTAGTTCGATATACTTAACAAAATATGGCACTCTAATCTTCTTTGGCACCATAATATTGGGAACCAAACAAACTTTAGCTATGATCACCAAGTGAATCATATTATTTTCTTCAACTGCTTTTAATCTTTCTTCTAAGGTGGATATCTTAGCTTGGCTCATAATACAGCTAAACCTACCTTTAGAAGGTTCAATCACTGTTAAATCCATGGTAGTTGGAGCTTGAGTTGGCTAGATAGGGATGGTATGCACAAAGTGTTGCTCTGTTACCGAAGCTTCCCCCAAGTTCTGACATGTTACAGGGATGTGAGTTATTGGTGCCCTATAAGTGGTTGTGCAGAAATCCCTTTTCCATTCTTGGAGCTCAGCATTTGTTCAAGCTGATTTGTAAGTATAGCTACTTCACCTTTGATGCTCTCAATTTTATTTTGATAAGGGCCTCCAACTGAGCTCTTTTTTCATTTTCTATTTATCCGGTGTAACAAATCTTAGACTAGGGATCTACGTTTCAACATAGAGTGATGTATGATAAATGTATGAACATATTTCTACATAATGAACTTATCCTTCAAGGGGTGACATATGGTTGTAATTCTTGTATGATGAAACAAGAATATTGATTCTTTCCCAAATTCTATAATGAAAATTTTCTAAGTGATGGTCATTATGTCACCGATAAGTCTTGAGTTGAAGATGCTTCAAGAAGGGTTGCCCTGATGCAAATAAAGATAACACAAACAACCTAAGGATATGCTTTATTCATTATATGAGACAAAAGGTAGGTTTTCTACCTATTCTCAAAATGGGTCTCATATCTGCCCAATGACGATCTTCGTAAAGATAGTATAGGGGCGTTGCAAGGAATAGTTAAGGCACATATGCCCATCATTACCAAGCAGACACTCAAATATGAGTTAGATGTTTCACGCATCTGAACCCTAACCAATAGTCATAGGATAAATCACTAGTTCCCCACCAAACTTAAAAGTTTGTGTGTGCTTTTAAAAACTTAAAGCATATGATGCATGAGGCAATGCTATAAAATGAACAAATATGTATAGAAATTAAGTGTGCAAGAAATAAATAAAGGAAATGCATATTAAAAATAAACATTCAAATCACAACAATAACATAAAAATTAGATAAAATAAAGCTTAGTCTACAAGGTCCCCGGTGGATTCGCCATTTTGTCGCACGTGTGCGGCATCGCAGTGAACCGTCCACCCTCTAGGAAAAATATATTGTTATATTTAGCAAATATGGAAAGACAAGGAATTCTTGTCTCTTATCGGTAAAATATGGGCTGGGAGTCGCCACCTAGTATTCTGGTCACTCAGAACCCTAACTGGTTTTCAAGATAGGGTACGGAGAATGATTGCATAAAAAGAAGGTATTGACACTCCAATTACGCCCTACCTAAGGTAAGATGCATTGTTTTATTCTCTAATAAAATCTAAAGTCTTGTTGTGGTTTCTAATTATCGGTCTGTCTATGGTTTAAGAAAAGTCCTTCTTTGTAAGGAGATATTTATCTTATCATGTAAAAACCTAAATGTTCTATGTCATCACATGAAAAAACCTTTTTAATATCAGGAATACGTTTTAAGTATAAATTTGTAATCCCTGATACTAAACCAACATAAAATAATTTTTTTATATTTTTGATATTTTGGCCAATGTTCTATTGACTTTAATAAACTGGTTATTATAGCCAAAATACTTGCTAAAATATTATTTTTTAGTGTATGAAAAATACAATATGATTTTTAGCTTTGAGATACTTTGTCATATGTACAAAAACATTTTTTCTTTTTTCCATTTTTTTTGTATTTTTGAAACTTTTGACGAAAACCAGGTATTTTAATACCGGATTCGTATTTTTTCGGTGTATTTAATTAGAATGGGCCAGCATGGCTCAACATTAAAAAAAAAAATAGGTCAACACTGGCTCAACATAAAACACAGGCCAGCACCGACCCATCACATAAAATGGGCCAGCACTGGCCCAAAAAATTATAATTGCTCATGTTCTGCATACCAATGAAAGGAAAAAAAATAGAGACGAAGCAAAGAAGGAATGATGCTTACCTGGCAAGAAGAGGCATGGCTGTTGTTGTTAGCGGTGACTTATGGTGGTGAAGACGGTGCAGGTGATGACGGTTTTCACCAATTTTTCCCCTATTTTTCCTATCTCTCTTTGTTTTTTTCCTTCTTTCCTTCTTTTTTCTTTCTTTTTCATTTTTATCTCTCGGTTCTCTCATCTCTATCCCTATTCTGGTTCGCTCTCTTCCTTTTTGTTTTTTTTCCTCTATTTTCCTTCTCTTCTTCCTCTATTTTTTCTCTTTTCTCTCTCGCTCGGTTTTTCGTTATTTCTCTCCCTCTCTAGGTCTTCTTCTTCTTCTTTTTTCTTCCTTTCTTTGTTTTTTTTTCCTTTCTCTCTTTTTTCTCTCTTAGGTTTTTTTTTCCTTTCTCTCTTTTTTCTCTTTCTTTTTCTCTTAAGCTCTCCCCCTCTGTATTTATAAGTAAAAATAAAGGGGAGAGAGAGGTCAAGGCGGCCACTATATTGTTGCCCCGAACCACCCAAGGGGTACATCCCCTCCATTCTTCCACCATGTGGCAAGCAAATGAGTTATGTCAGTATCTTTTTGAGTACTTGAAGGAAGATAAGGTAGTGAGAAATAGGGGAGAAAAGTCTTCTTCTTCTCTTGTTCTCTCCACGTCTTGGGGAAGAAGAAGACATATGGTGTCATTCAAAATGACATCATTTCGAGCCGTCTTTTTTTTTTATATGTACCGTGCATGAAACAACGCCGTTCTGGGCAAAATACGTCGTTTCATTTTAAAAAAGGTGGAAAATGTATTAAAGTTCACATTAATCCTTAATTTATAATTTGTTCAATCAAGTCTTAAATTACAATTTTGATTTAAAAATCAATGCAATTGAATCCCTGCCAAAAATCAAACCAAGACCCTGAAGTTGGCTGCCTTTTTCACTTTAGTTCTTGGTCTCGTATTAGTGCAATTTGACCCTTAATTGAGCAATAAATTTTTAATTTCTTCAATTTGTTGATTAGGTTTTAATTATAGCCCCTCTATTTACGCGTCTTTTCCAGTTTGGTCTTTAGTTTCGATTTTCTTCAATTAAGTCCCTAATTGGCCATCAAATTTCAATATTTATGCAATTAAGCCCTTTATTTAATCAAATTAACTCTTAAAAATTATAATTTGAACCTAGAACTTTAATTTCTTCCAATTAAAGCCCAAGTTAACTCCAAAATTAATTTTTCTTGTAATCAAACCCTCCATAAATTCAATTAAACCTTCAATAAAATTTAATTGAGTACATAAATATCTTATCCTTAACTTTTCTTCCTCAAATTGAATTTTCTTTGTCAACAGGGCTCTCATCGGTCAACAAAATACTGTTAAATTTCAATCTTTGTATTTTAGAACCTCCTCAACCAATTTTTGACCATTTTCTAGGCACTCCGGCCTTTTATTCACACTATTCTTATTTGTTTTTTATTTTTTTCGAACATGTATTTTTTTATTTTTTTTTATTGTCTTCTTTTTTATGCGAGGACCCAAAAATAGGTTATAACAATGACAATAACAATAATAACAATAGTAATAATAATTCTTAATTTTACCCTTTAAATCAAATTTATTATTGCTTTTCAATATTAATACTATTTTCTACAAATTTATTAATTTTATATGAATAATATTAATTATAATAAAAATAATAATATTAGAATACCAATAACAATATTTATCATATAAGTAATAGTACTGAATTTGACTGGCCAAATTTTTTGTAGTAATATTTTTTTAAAAAAACATTATTAATGATAATTATAGCAATAATTATTGATATAATTTTTTTCATTTTTCTTCTTTGCAGGGCTTACAGACCTAGCCACCCGGGTCTTCAAAGCTAAGGCAAGGGTCAGAATTGTCCACAACATGGGGATTTGTAAAGTCAGGCGCGTTGGGCACAGACCACGGGCTCGTGAGTCTACAAACTTGCTTGTCTAGGTTTACACCCAAAGTACGGGCCTGGAGACCTGCTCATTTGGTCTTCAGCGAGGTGTGTGGGTTTACTTAGCACCCATGGCATGAAAACCCAACGCCAAGTGTTTGCAGGTGTCCGTTTCCTAGACTACTGCCAGGTGATTGGGTCTAGCCCTAACATCCTGGCTTGGAACTGGGCTCTAGGTGTCTATAGCCTGGTTCGTGTAGCCCTATCAAAATCCAAACTGACCATTTTTTCCCCACCTAAAAAGACAACCCTATCCCCTGTAGTCTTTGCAACTCTTTATGGTAAGGGTAACCTTGTCATTACGCCTCTTTAACCTACAATGTTTTTTATCAAAGAGCAAACTCAAATAATATAGTCCACAGTAAAATCACTCATAGTCTATAGTAACTCACTCTATAGTACCAAATAGTACCATTTATAGTAAAAGCATTCATAGTCTATAGCAACCCCTACTAGAGTAAAACACCGATCCCTTTTTGTTATAGTTAATAATTTTAAGACTTGTTTCATTTAGACAACTCGATAAGTCAACTTGCAACTAAAATGACTTAGTTAAAACCTGATTTGATTAAAAAAAACCCTTAAACTAACATCATTTTAACTTCTTCTTTTTTTAAATCTTGAAACAATGATATTTTATATTGATACCAATTAACCTGGTCAAACCTATAACTCAAGTATTAAACCTGGATAAATGTAATACTCTACTCGATACCAGTTTAAGCCACTTTCCCCGCAATCTCTCTAGGTTAAATGGGGAAACTTATCTTTATGAAGTTCACAGCTTGGCTCTTCTTGACCTACATGTGTTTTTATTTAGCATATTAATTTCTTAACACCAAATTTATCCATATCATCAAAGTAAAAATAACCCTTTCATGGATACATCTAAACATTACATTTTTATATTTTACTTTCAGCCCTACCAAACATCACATGTAACTCTCATAATTCCAACTTTAGCATACTCATTACTAAATCACTTTTAACATAAATAAGAATTTTATTGATTAAAACTTAAATATAATAACAAATAAGTAATCTATATACTATAATCATAATACCACTTTGAATTAAGAATCTTATACAGAGTAAAGAAGGAGGATAAATAATTTATACTTGACATTAAAAAAATATCTAATTTCAATGCATTTAAAGAAAATGTTATAATTTTAGTATATAAAATAGATACATAGCCTCTCTCTATTTTATTTGCTCATGAGGGTAAATATATTGAATCATAATATATACTCTCCTTATCAAACGGGACACCACCAGAGTGTTGTGATGAGGTCTATTAGAAATCCATGCATTCTTCCATTTAAAATCTTGCCGCCTATAGTGCAATTTAAGCCAGTGTGACATATAGACAGAAGATTTTATTGGGTTTTTGCTGCCTTCTGCTTGCAGAAATTTTTTTTTAAAAATGCTGTGATTAATAATCCACCATTTCTTTTCCGGCAGAAAACTATTAAGATAACATGTTTCCTTACACAGCACTGTCATGTATAAAATTTCTAGAGAGGTAATGTTATATGGTTTTTTATTTGATGGTAAAGCTACACTCCAATCCGATTAATTAGTGTGTTAATCAAGATTTTCTTAAAATAAAAAAATTAATTTGTACTTTACAATTTATGATACTGTAGACATAATCTTGCGACAAATTAACACTTCCAACTAATATTTTTCTCTTCTTCCGATGGTCACAATCAAACGTTTTATGCTTTTCTTATGCAATTTGCTTGGGTCACTTTTCTCCACCGCCCTTCGATCTCCTAATCCTGTAGTGAAATAAGCAAACATTATCTATTCTATAGTGCGAAAAAAAGTCCAAACTGCGTGCTCAGCTCTGCATATATAAACCCTAGCTAAAGAAAGCCCTTCAGGATTTGTGATTTCTTTGCTTTCTTTCTGCTAGATAACTTCTCTTGGAACAACATTTCCCCGTTCTTTAAACACCTTACTCCCTCTGATTTAACAAGAAAAACTCTGTAGTTATAAATCAGCAATCATCTATAATGGCAAATCTCAGGAAAACTCTATCTGAAACTGACGTCGAGGTAAGATTTTCAGTACCAAGTAAATGGTTCAAGGAAAATTTGTTTTCTCGATTTGAAGGTAAAAATAAATTGGATTTACCTGTTAAGGATCTAAGTGGAGAAGTGCAGTCCTTTGGTTTTTCAGTTCGAACCAAAGGGAACCACTTCAAACCTGTCATCTCTAGGGGATGGCGTAAATTTGTTCGAACCAAGGGCTTGAAGCCTGGCAATAAGATAATTTTTGCTATGGAGAATGACCCAGAAACTGGGACAGAGTACAAAGTAGAAGTGATTAAAGAGATCAGGCTATTCGGAAGAGATATAGAAGGAAGGGTATAAGGTATATGTTTACAAATTTTTTTATTTCTTTTTTTAAATTAGTGTTCTATACCTAATCATTGCTTATATATTCAAAAGTCAAAAGTCAATTGATATGGTACCATAATAGTACAATTAGCTCAATCCTTTTATAACAAAATAAAAGTTATTAAACTCTTTCTTAGGGTTGTAGATTAACTTGAATTAAATTAAAAATAATATTATTTTAAGATTTATTTTTAAAAATTAAAATAATTTTATTTTAATTATTTTTTTAAAATCAAATTAAATTTTAATCAAAGAATTAATCCATTAATTCAATCAGATTTGACCAAATTAATTTGTACTTAATTTAATTTAAAATTCATTTAGGGCCAAGTTCGGATTTATGAGTTTCTGTTGCTAGATTGTTCTGCGCCTAGCTGGTTTAATAAAACTATATATATATAAAAAAACTATATAAAATGAGATGTACTGAAAAAATAAAATGAATAAAATAGTGAAATTTGTGCTCAGCATCAAATAAAATATTGGGACCTTAATAACTTCGGATCAACGCATGAAAAAATTGTTGCATTTTTTTATTTATTTCTTCTATACCAAATATTGGATATTTAGCTTTGTTTTATTAAACCAATCAAATATATGGTTCGGTGACTCAAAAGATGGAATACTCTTTGTTTTTTTTTTTTTCTCACACTTCAATTTTCTTTCTAATGCGTTTTTAATTAACCCTCTTGTTATTTCGACAGAATTGAGAAGACGACGTCTAGCTAGCTAGGGAAGTTATGCAATTTAATAGGCTGTGTGTCTCGTAAAAATAATGAAAAAGGGCCCGGCTTGCTGGGTTTTTTTTTTTTTTGAGTGGAATATTATAAATTTTATTTTATGTAATTTAGGATAGAGGAGAATGAAGATGTATCATGACCTAAGGTAGCAAAGAGGGAGAAGGTGTGTTCATCCCTAGTTGTTTTTTTTTTAATCTTTTCTCTTGATGTACAAGAAAAAGAAAGTTGAAGGTTTTTCATTATTTTCTGCCTTTCGTGTATACTATTGTGGCGCGTAAGAGATGACATCCTTCTGCTAGCAAATAAATATAAAATTTAGTCAATGACCTTCATTCTAGCATGTCTTTTGATTTCAAAGCGTAACTATTGTAATTAATAGCACAAGAGATAAGAGCAACCTTTATGCGGCTGCCGTGAAATTTGATTTTTTTTTAATTTAAATTATTTTTTGAATGTTTTTAAATTGCTTTGATGTTAGTAATATAATAAATAAATTTTAAAAAATAAAAAATATTATTTTTATATATTCCTCAATAAAAAAGACACTTTAAAAAACATCCTATATGATGCAGATCCCATTGTGCCATGCGATGTCACGGGAAATTTGGGATTTCCAGCAAAACTCATCGAGTTGTGTCTTCTCGTGACTGTATAATTCTTTTCAGCTACGTACTTGGCCAAATATAAAATGGATGATGAAAACATCTACACATATCCCAGTATTTAACTCTCTATTCTCAATCCAGCATAATTACACATGTGGATATCTAGTGATGTTGTTTTACTTTCACAGTCTCAATCATAATAATAGTTATTAAATTTAATCTATATTTTGATGGGTAGAACCAATTATAACTCTTCAATTCAAAATATAATCTTGGATCTGATTTTTTTTTAAATTATTTAAAAAATTAACTTGATTAAAGTTGGATAACACGTATCAATGATTTCTTTTAAATATATTCAAAGCAATATTATTTTAGTAAAAAAATTACAATAAATCCAAGTTAATTTATTATATGTTGATCTATATTTGAAACTTTAAACCATAGTTTTTAAACCCGGCCCGGTGGCTGGCCCGGTCCAAGGTCCGGGTTCTGGGTTTTGACCGGGTCACCGGGTTTTGACAGGGTCGAACGGGTTGGCCGAGTCAATTTTTATTTTAAAAAAAATTCAAAACAACGTCGTTTTAATAAAAAAATAAATAAAAGTCAACGGGTTACCACCGGGTTTTTGACCGGGTTTTGCCGGGTCACGCCGGGTCATGGCTTACCTTATTTTTTCATCAACCCGGCCTGGTTCCAGTCCTGGATCGGCCGGGTCCCAGGTCAACCCGCCGGGCCGGGTTTTAAAACTATGCTTTAAACCGAGTTGAGTATGATCTCCAATATCAACTTCACTATTTGAGTAATCTGTCTCAAACATGTTATTTATGTTTTCTTTTCGATTACTTAGTTCAATAAACTACTCGAACCACAGGGAAGAAATTGGAGGACCATGAGCGCAAGAGGTTGGAAATTCTTTATTAGCATGATGTTGGTTTTTTCTTTTTTTCTTGGAAAATTGATAGTGAAAGATTTGTTGTTTATAGAAGTCGACCTTAGGTGCAAGAAATGGGACACTTACGATGACCTTAGGTGCAAGAAATGGGACACTTACGGAGCAATAAAATATGAGAAATATGACTTAGTTATATGCATCCATATGCCATAGAATGCACGCTTCTAATATACAATAAATAAATCATATATGTATATATATAGAAGGGGTGTGCTGTGTGCTCCACCTATGGGAGAGCAAGACAACGTAACGTTCCCTAATATTGCCTATATATATATATATATATAGAAAGGGTGTGCTCCACATATGGGAGAGCAAGACAACGTCACGTTCCCTAATATTGCCTCCTCTTTCAGGTATTTTCCCTGTATACGATCCAATAATATTTATTAAATATTTCTTTATATCTTTCTGTCCTGAAAAAGGGATCAGCTAGGTTTCCATAAAAATTGAATGCACAGGAGTGCGTGCTGCTTTGGTGAGCAATATTCATACCACACAGAGACAATTTCTCATCAAAGCCAGATATACAATTTCTTGATCATTTGATTAAACGGTTTTAGGCTTAGACACACACGATCACATCCTTCTACTTAGGGATTGTAATAAAATCTTCCTAGGGCATCTCCAATGGACAGCACAAAAATAAAAAAAATTACCATCGACAAATATTTTTTTTATATTGCTAACTGATATAACAATAGATATTAGTATTATTGATAAAAGTATTTTATTAGTAAAAATATCAAAAAATAAATTATCGATAAATTCTTAATTACGTATCGATAAAATATTTTCGTTAGTAAAATTGTAAAATCTTGTAGTGATAAATATATTTATAAAAATATATAAAAAATATATATAATTATTTCTTTGAATATATGTGTATTATTTTTGTAGTTTAAGATAAATAATAAATAATATTCAAATAATAAATACCCAAGACCCAGTTCACTAGGTATGGATATAGGAAATGAGTATGTATATTAAAAATCTAATTAATTCATGAATTCACGTTATCATCCTAACATCACTTAAATGACATCATTGCATTCAAAACAAATCATGATAATTGTGATGTATTAATAAACAATTGTTTTCTTTCATAACTTCAAATAAAAATGACTTTGGTCGAATTTATTTTAATTTTATTATAACTAAATCAACATAAATAAAAACATTGGACTTACTTTCTCCTAATAAAAAAGGTGAAATAACTATGCCGGAATTAGTCAAAAGGGATAAATAATTCCATGCCAACAACTTTATGAGCCATACACTTTTATTTATAAGATTATCTTTTAGTTTTCACATTTTTAATGCTTGTCTCCACCGCCCACACACAGCAACTTAATACTAAAATAAAAAATTTCACGCTTCATTCAGAGTTTGAGTGCTAATTCTATCAATCTCCAATTCTATAAAACGATCAGCAAACTTATCATCTGCTTGAAAATGATGTTGGGGTGATATTGTCATCACGAACTGATTAATGGTACAAGAAGTGTTTTTTTTTAAAAAAAAAAAAAAGAAGAAGAGAGAGTTCAAAGTGATAGATAATAAAATGTGTTGGCCTAAAACCTAATTTCAATTGAGTTTTATTTATAGTTATTTTAGTGGTTGAACTAGTCAAATATCTGTTATTTAGCGATTTAATTTATGATTTGATTGATTTAATTAAATTTAGTTGATTAAGTTAGATAATTCTAATATTTTTTAATTTATATAAAATAATATCATTTTAATTATAATTCATGACTTAATATAATAAACTCACAACATGAATCTTTAACCAGGTAAGATCTCCAACCGAGTTTGATTACTATTGTGTGGTCATAGGGACTTCTATCTACAATCAAAGGCAAAACCTTTTATTTCTCCAAAATGCGTGGTTTGAATTTGTTGATCATAAGGCTTTGACTTTGGTGATAAGATGGGCTTCGTTCGAGAAAAAAATTATAATGTATAAAGTGTAATTAATGATATTTTATTAGTTATTTTTTAAATCTATTTTTAATAAATAAATATAAGAAGAAAAGAAAAAATTATATTATAACAAAAAATAAATGGTATTGGAAAACTACTATAGATTGTAATAGTTATTTTAATTTTAATTTCTCTTTTTTTCCATGAATAGATAAACATTTCTTTAGTTTTTTTACACAAAGGTAATCAAGTTTATTTTTTCATGAATGGATAAATATTTTTTTGGTTTTTTTACACAAAGATAATCAAGTTTTTTCAATTTTCAAGTATAAGTAAATAACAATTTTAGCCTAAAAAAAAGCTTTGTCTTTAGAGGTATTTTGATTTTTATATGAATATTTTATGTAATTAAGAAAACCATGAGAGACTTCTTAGTATTTTTTTATATTATATTTTATATTTTTTAATCAAAAAGTTATTGGAGCATGTTCTACATATTAGTAAATATTTTATATTTTATATATAAAGTAAGTAAATTCAACCCATGATTAATAAAAATACCAATATTAGTAAATAATTTGAAAAAAAAATCTTAATTCATAAAAATTGACTATTTTATAGAATGAAACATATAATACAAGTTACTTTTATTTTTAATTTATGCAACATGTAAAACTCTAAATAATATAAATAAGTTACTTAACAACTAAACTATATAGTAGTGTTATTATACTTTATTTCAATTATCAAAACTCCAAAAAGCTTTAAAAAATCAACAAAAATATAAACATTAAAATTTGAAAATAATTAAAACTCATCAAAATAAATTAAATTTTTTATTAATTTTCTTAAAGATTATTTTTTGCTATTGTCTTACATTGTTTTTATTATTTTAAACAAAAATTGATATAGTTAAAGCTGATATTGGTTGTTATTTAGAGTGTGATAGTAGTGTATGCTTTAATATTCTATTAAAGATGTCAGACATGTGTGCTTGGGTTTAGTATTACACATGATTACTAGAATTAAGTCACTTGGGTCTCGCTTGGTTACGAGACCCAAGAGTCTTTAATTTAGCATAGTTGTCAGATCTAAAAGCCTATAAAAATTAGAAAAATTAATTAAAATTTTTGTTTATGATAATTTAAATATTTTTATTTATAAAAAATAAAATTAATTTAGACAAAAATTAATTAGGATTTCTCTTTAGGATATTTTAAGAATGATTTAAATTGTTATATATATATATATATATATAATATAGAAAACATTTATAAAAAACTATTTAGGATACTTTAAGGATAATTTACATGTTTTTTTAATAATTTATTTATAAAAAAAATAATTAGGATTTATATTTATATTATTTCAAGGGTAGTTTAAATATATTTTTATAAAAAAATTAATTAATATTTATGTTTAGGATATTTTAAGGGTAGTTTAATTTTTTTATAAAAAATAAAAAAATAAATAGGATTTTTATTTATAATACTTTAAGAGTAGTTTAATTTTTTTTTATAAGAAATTATAAGATAAATTAATTAAAATTTTTGTTTAGAATACTTAAGGATACTTTAAATTTTTTTATAAAAAATAAAAAATATTTATATAAAAATTAATTAGAATTTATATTTAAAATATTTGAAGGATAGTTTAAATATTTTTTATATAAAAATGAAAAACAATATAAAAACATTAATTAGGCATGGTTGTTATATCTAAGGTGCTTGAGCATGGAATGTCTACTAGACCCAACAATGGCAGACCTAATCGCCTTGGGTCTAGCATCGGTGGAAGAATTATTAATAAATTTTTTAAAAATTATTATTATTAAAAAAACATATAATTGATTTGGCCATTAGACCCAAATCTCTTGGCTCTGGTAAAAATTGAATCATACATGTGTAATATTATTATTAATAAATTTATAAAATAAATATTATTACTAATGAAAAAATATAGATTTTATTTAAAGAATAAAATTAAAAATTATAAGAAATTGGTCTAGACAAATTTAATATTATTATTAATATGATAAATATTATAAGTATAATTATTAATAAATTTTTTAAGAACATATTACTATTGAAAAAAACCATAGATTTGATTTGACCACTAGAGTCAAGTCTCTTGGGTATGGAAAAAATTATAAAAACTTAGGTCAATGATGTTTAAAATTATTGTTAATATTATTAATTTAATTATTATTAATAAATTTGTAAAAAAATATTATTACTATCGAGAAAAAAATTATAGATTTGATTCAAATAGTGAAATTAAAAACTATAATAACTTGAGTCAAACAAATTTAATATTATTATTATTATTATTATTATTATTAATTTTTTTAAAAAAATATTACTATTAAAAAAAGCTATAAATTTAATTTGATTGCTAGACCCAACCGTCAGATTTAATTCCCTTAAAATATTCTTCAATTTTTTAATATTTTTTTAATATTAAAATAGTAAAATTAAACCATAAAATATTCTCTTAAAATAACCTACTACAAAGCACATGTCAATATAGTAATAAAATCTATAACCATAAAAATAATAAAATTATCTTTCCTATAATTTCACTCTTTTACTTATATTTTTTATATTTTTTAAAAAATATATCCTACAAAACAACAAGTAAAATATCATTAATTACTTTTTAAACATCGATAAACTTAATTAAATACAAGGATTATTCTTTGAAAAACATTTGGGGACATGGAATGATAGAGAGCCGTAATGTTTGGAGTGCTCAAATGAATAATCTTTACTTTGGAGCACCATTTCATAAAAGTAAGCTACGAAGTTCAAGGATCTGTAACAATCGAAAACTTATGGGGGCATGGCTACCCCGACCGCAGCTATGTTGGGAATTTATGTTTGTATGTCTTTCCAACATGAAAAATTATACTACTTTTAAATTTTTATTTGTCATCACTATAAATATAGAGTTACTTCAACAAAGAATATGTTTTATTTTATGTAAAAAGAAACTATAAAAAGAAAAGCTGCTCACATATTTATAAGTTTTAGTTCAAAAAACATAAAGGATACAAGTACTCATGAACATATATAATATTCTAGTCCTTCACCACTATATATATAGAAAACCCAAGTTTTAACTGCTGGGATGTCCTTTTGGCCTTGAGGGACTACTGTTGCTAGCTGATTTATTATTGTAAAAATATAGCCGTACCAGGTTAAAATATGAGTCACTCGATTGCTTATATGGAGGCGGTCATGTAGCCTCCTCAATTCTTCACGGTGGCCCAAATATCAGCACCGAACACTCTGAGTTTCCTCTCCACTTGGATTCTGATCAAAGTTGCTGTATCTTGGTTCTTGATGATTTCCTCATGAATACTGACCTTATCATCAATTCTAAGGTCTCTTTGACGAGCAAATTCAATCCAACCCACAGAAAGAAAAGGCTCCACGTTTTCATTCCTTTGAATGAAGCAAGGAAAGGTCCATTCTTGCCCTTTGTCATCGTGAACGCGCATGTTCATGGAATGGCTTTGTTGGGAAGGCAATGGACCTAGAGAACAAGCAGGAATAGCTAAGCAACCCTCGATGTCAGCTCTGGTTACCACCTTGGAGAATAGTGTTGCCATTGCTTGCTTGCCACAAATTAGATCTTTAATAGTATAACTTCAACAAGGTGAAATTTGTGTACGAGTTTGATGAGTTATGGTAATGATTCAGTTGCTCTTCAATGATTCTTCAGCATGGTGTGTGTGTGTGTATTTATATATATTGAGAGAGACGCCGTCCATAGGAGGGATTGCACAGGAGGTTCAGTGAGTTTTCCAGGAAACAGCGTGTGGAAATAACCCCGAAAAGGTGTCACCGTGGAAAAGAAGTCGTGCTTCTTTTCTTAACCATCATGAGTTAAAAGCTAAAATTCGAGAATAAAAAAATATTAAATTTAGATTGATGAGGTTGATGCATAACTAAAATCATCGGAAAAATATAATTAATCTTAATTTACATATAAATTTATTAAGAAATACTTCTTAAAAAAATTATAAAATTAGAGTTTACACAAAAAACATAAAAGATAATTCAACACATTTGATTCGATGTTTTTAAAAGATTATAGGAGCATATTTATTACTTTATGTAAATAATAATAATAATAAATTATTACTATTATTATAAATAATAATAATATTAATAATTTTTAATTTTACTCTACCAATCAAATTTATTATTTTTTATAGTAATAACTTTTTTAATTTAATAATAATAATATAAAACACATCTAATCTAAATTTAAATAAGTTTAATAAATATACTAGACCCATATTAGTTGGGTTTAACAAACATCCAAATTTTTCCTCGTAAACATGATTATTTCTTCATTATTTTTATTTTTATTTTTAAAAAGAAAAGAAATTCTAAATTTAAAAGTTAAAATTTATTATATAGAAAAGAAAATTTTATCCCAATTGCATATTTAATAAGGTTTTTTTAACAAGCACAGTTATATAATTATATTTCTCTTCATAATTATTTATATTTTGATGAATATTAAAAGGATGACCAACAAAATAATAATCTCCTTTTCCAATTAAATAAGGACCCGCAATCACCTAGGCCCCGCGTGAAGTTGGTTTAAAGGTGGAGCAGAAATTTCTTCCAAAGTAAACGCAAGCTGCGAAGCTTGTTCCTCGGGCACAAATGGCCCCACAAAGCAATAGCAATGCTCTTCAAGCAAACAGTAATATATATATATACCTACTCATAAATACTTCATTAACTATTACAATTTCATTTGAAAAAAAGTAATATTTTGTAATATCCTTTGCATATCTTAGAGTTACGTCCAATAACAATTAATACATAGCGCTAAAGAATAAAAAAAATCAAATAAATTTTTTTTATGTATATATATTTTTATGTAACTAAGTAAAAAAAAAAATATAATAAAATAAAATAAATTATTACTTTTATTCCTGATTCTGGCGTCAATAAATAAACTTATAATTTTATTTTATTTTTATTTTTTACCTACTTTTATTTTTTGTGAAATTAAACAAAGTTTAATGAAATAAATTTGAATTTTTATTCTGACTCTAGCTTTAATGAATAAAAACAATTTTTTTTTTATTTACACATTTAGAATCTTTTTTTATTTTTTATTTTTTCTATTTTCTTGGGCTGGGCTGGGCTAAATCTAGCCCAGCATATACATTGGTGACTGGGCTGAGCCCAGCCAGCCCAGACCAGTCACCGGCCAAGCGAAGGTAATTAAGTTACCTTCGCACTGTTCAAATGATAATTTGAACAATTTGAACACAGGAGCAAAATACAAAAGCAAATAGGCTTACCTGTTTCTAGAGATTGCGAAGGAGGCTGCATCGTTGAAGGGGTTCGACTGCTTTCTGTTGATGGTGATAGAGGAGAAGGTTGTTGCGCCGGTGTGGTTCCTGTTCTTTCGGTTTCTGGCGACGATGAAGAAGGCTTTTGCCGGTGTTCTTTGGCTGAATTCTGTTTTTCTTTTGTTTGCAGGTTCGAAAACAGTTTCGAGGATAATTCTCCTCACTGTGTGCTCTCCTCTTGTTCTCTCTTTCTCTCTGTATTTGGATTCTATTTCTACTCAATTTTTTTGTTCTCTCTGTTCTCGTCTTTATTCTTGGGTGATTTTCTCCGTTCTTGTTCTGTTTCTTTTTTTTGGGTTAATTGCTGTTTTTTTCTGGGTTCCCTCTTGTTGTCGAGTGCTATGAATCACTCTCTTTCTGGGGTTGATTTTCCTCCTTTTTTTCTCCTCCTCACGCCGGGTTTTCTTCTCCCTTTTATAGAGAAATTGGCCCTGCAACCAGTCCTGTCTTTGCAGGACTGTGTTATGGAATCCCTGAACGAGATTATTGGCAATAGATGTCATCCAAGATCGGGTTTGTTACAGATTATCAGCTCCCCTGCTGAATTGGAAGCTCCCTGTTGACTCGGGATGGAGAAGACGCACGGCTGTTCCAATGGCAACGACGACGTTTTGGCTGGAAACGAGAGTTTTCAATTTGACCCCTGGGCTTTGGAAATTCGGCAATTGGACCCCTAATCAATTAAAATTTCTTTTAAT